ATGGACATGTTTTCGCGAAAAACAGGCTGTTTTTGGGAGGTGTGCAGAGTGCAAAACCTTTTTTTTTTTAAATTTGCCTCTTCAAAATCTTGGTAATATTACACTTCTTTATTTCTTAATTTAAAGTGGGGGGGGTAGTCTACCATAGGTGAATTTAACCTGAGGATAAGCTAAATTGAAACTCAATCACCATGACTTAATGTGGACCTGCATAAGATTGTAATGTAATTCTTTGACACTTTCCTGGCAAGTGTCCTTGGCCTGTGTTTATGTGTGCTTCAGATGTTTCTTTGGACTAATAGCTATTAGTCACATTGCTTTGCCACCCTGCTTAGAACATCTGTATATTTATCTCTGTAAGGTTTTGTACCCCACATCATTTGTTTGACTGATGTCTATTATCCAGATTCATGGCAAATGTTGCATTTCTACTACAATGTTGCATCTTTTCTTAATAGCTAATAGTTCATATTATTTAAAATCACCTTTTGAGATTAATGTACAATATATGCTCTTTTTATTTTAGGGGAATCCTCACAGATAAGAAGATCTAATTTACTCTTGGAATTCAGCACTAAAGAAATTTGTTCTAAGGGAAGTCCACATACATGGCAAAGTAGCATCAATTTCTATTGTGGGAAGACTTTGGTTAGTATGTTACTGCTGACAATTTTATTTCTAAATGGGCAATAATTATTTTTAATTATTAAGTGTTGATAAGCTGTTCCAGTCCTGACAGAAGAATTATGTTTGTCCTAGAAAGTATTTGCATGTTCATGCAGTACACATTGCTTATCTGTTTTCCCAAATGAATGTATTTAAAAGTATTTAATTAATGTACCAACATTACCAAAGAGAAATATCAAATTGATCAGATTACATAAAACTAGTGCTTCTTAAAATTTGATTTAAAAATCTGCCACTCAACTTATGTGCTTGGTATCAGGTAAAATAAGCATACTTTATTTTAGGCATTTCATTATATATCTGTTTTGATTCAAGTTTCTTTTCCAGAACGTTGTTAAAATCATTTATTTATTAAATTTTCATGCCACCCATCTGCCTGATAAAGGGACTCTGGGTGGCTTACAAAACAATATAGTGTTAGGTCTTGGCATTTGATTTTGTACTGTCTAGGTTCTGAAATGTTAATCAATTGATACATATCTGGGTAAAAGTAGTTTTTTGCTTGGAAATGTAAACTGTACTAACCAGTAACATTTATTTTAAAGTTTATTATTATTATTATTATTATTATTATTATTATTATTATTATTATTATTATTATTATTATTATTATTATTATTATTATTATTATTATTAT